TAAAAAGCTGCTGAATGAGTGGCTGTATGACTTTAAGTGGGATTTATACTTCTGTGTCAAATTGTGCACGCTATGCCTTAGCCCATACCATAGCCTACGCTGTAAGATGTAACTACATGTTGGGTGACAGAGACCTCGTGTGTATTTTTGGAAGCTGAAAACCATTTTACTCAGTGGAATCAAAGACTTCATTTACTTTAGAAACAATAAATTGTGAAGACATTTAAGCCCCCACAAAATAGCATTTGAAGTCCTTTGTGTGATTTATCCTGGCTTCTTATGAGGAGAGGAAAGTCTGCTAGCCTGTAGGCTAATTTATGCAGTGTAAAATGGTATAGGCTTATGCTAATAACATTAGCATGTTGTATATGTGGGGAGAAAGTGTTTGGTGTAAGACAGTTGTTTTGTTGATGAACCTTGTGAGTTGTAATAGAGCAGAAATTTGTAACCTTACCTTTGTTAAATGTTGCTGTTGTTCCTGGCTTCATATGAGTAGAGGATAACTCTGCTAGCTGCAAGGCTAATTTATACAATGTAAAATGCCATAAGCTTGTGCTAATAAAGTTAGCATGTTATATTTGTGGAGAAAATGTGTCCAACAAAAGACAAGTGTTTTTTTCTGTGAATCGTGCATGCTATAATGAAGCCAGTTTGCACAAGTACAGTGTTTGAAATTGTCGCAATTAAGTCAAATTGGTTAAACTCTACAGCACTTAACAGAAACCCTGCCACAGACTAGTGTTAGAGGTGTAACTGCAGAGCAACACAGACACACAACAGCACAAGTATAAATGCTCATAATGGCATAGACCACACACATAGGTTGCGATAAATCCACCTTAACAAGCTCATCATGAGCCCAGGCTGGGCCAGTTTGGAGTGGTTAACTCATACTCATAGTTTAATTATGTTTTAAGCTCGCACAAAGGTAGCAGGATTATAGGACAAGGCTGATCAGGGTCAGTTTTCTCTTATATCTTGCTTAAAACACCAGAAAGGGCTTCGGTATATTTGGACACCATGTTGGCTTTAATATTCTTCACTCAAAATGTAATTCAAGGTAGTGAAATTAGCAAGATTTTGCAGTGTATCTACCAGAGAATACAAATCACCTTTCTTCCAAACAAAGATAGCAGTGATCTTGTGACATCATGTTGATTTCTGTAATAGAAAAAAAGGTTCTGTAGAGAAACATGATTAATTCGTCAAACAAAGGTATTAGAAATGTATCATTTTGTATGAATAAACAGAGAGCACTCAGATATTGTATCAGAAGTGATATTGACAATGTTCAAGCCTCATGATTTATATTGTGATATGAAGAATTTTAGGGAAACTCAATTTTCTCTCTGTCTCTGTCAGTTTCCATCTTTCTCTCTTGTTTATAGATATTTCCTAATAATATTTTATTTGCTGCCTCCTTCTAACAGCTCATTTTATTTCACTCCCTCCTTCCAGCGCTCCCTCTTCTATTTCCCTCTCATTACCTTGTTTTTTCCCTCACAAATCTCCTTTTGACACTTTGCTACTTTGTGTCCCCTAAGTCAAAATAAAGCAGGTAGAACAAAAAAAATCCACATTAGGCGACTGAGTAAGAGAAGGGGGAGGGAGGGAGGGAAGATGGAGAGGTTAATGGAGAGACGGAGGGGGAGCGAGGGAGTAGGATGGAGGAGAAGAGCTAATAAAGCAGGGATAAGGAGGCTTAGAAAGTAATGATAAAATGTAGAGTGAAGTCATACGGTTGATTTGGCACCGCCGTGTGTGTATGTGTTGCTTGTTTTCCTGTGTGGGTTTGTGTGTTCTTGGCTGATGTCCTTGACTATATGGCTGATAATATCATTGCTTCAGGTCCCTGTTAGAGCAGACAGAGAGAGAGAGAGACTGCATGTGTGTGTGTGCCTGAGTAGGTGTGTGTGTTCACATTATGTGAGAATGATTGTGTTTGCTTGAATACACCCACTCCCTCAGGTCTTCAAAAAGCTCCATCTCACACAAGCACACCTTGTTTGTTTTTATACCGTCCTCCTACGTGCACATTCTTTTAATCATTTTGTACATGTATTTTATGTAGTTGGAATTAACCTGTAAAGGTCTCCAGGTTAATAGCAACAATCTGGTTAGCAGTTACCATGACCACAGCATTTCATCTTATCAGCCTTTCCCTCACATCTTCCTCCTTCCTCTTCCTTTCCACCCCTTTAGTTCCTCTTACAGACATAGTAGTAGTTCCCATTTGTCTTAAATGTCTCTTCATTCCTCTCACTCACATCCTCTCCTCACATCATGGTCCTTCCCATGTAAGGCGTTAGGAAAAGATGTAAGTGGGGGAAATGAGGAGACCACTTAGTGAGATGCAAGAAAAAAGATGTGAGGGTAGAGTTTGTAATGAAGTGAGACATCTCTCCCTCTCAGCATCATCCGAAGCAATGCCATGATGACAGTCAAAGCCTCCATATGTTCCTTTGCACCCAAAAGTAACAGCACAAATGTACAAAAAGGTCAAAAAAACTTCTGTGGAAAACCACTCACACATCCAGGGAAGCATTAGAAAGACCACAGAGGCGATGAATTATTATTATCTGAGAGAGCCAAAGATATGGATCTAGTTAACACTGCAAAATTGCGGATTAAGGCTTTGCTAGACAAATGTTACTCATCACCTTCCCACATCTGTTCTCCATATTCTTCACCTGCTTCACAGTTACAATAACGTTTAGTGTTGAGCAGCAGAAATGCAAAAAATGATTTTGAGGCCACAGCAAATTGATGTTCAAGCCAAACTATGGATCATACACAAGCCTGACAGTTTGTTTTATTATCGGTAATGATTTTATCATGAGTACGAGCTCACAGGCTGTGAGGATTTGCCAGAATCCTTCACTTCTCAGCATCTGAAGATGCTTAGGGCTGGGTGATATGGCCAAAAATGTTAACATGATACGAATATTCATATTACTTGATATTGATAATAATCATGATACATGTCAAATCATTGTTTTGTTTTTAGTTTTAAAAAGGCTGGTTTCTGCTCCTGGGTGAAAGTTGAAGAAATCAGAGGGTGAATTTTGGTTTAAACTGCTCTTTATTATTAGAACATGAGGAACACTCACAAATCTGAGGTAGAATTAAAACACTTATAATAGAAACACGTCAGTAAATTGATCAATAAATAAGCAAAGAAATGTCCGGGGTCAGTAGCATGTCAAACCCTCTGTACAGACGGTTTAAACATTTTGTGTTATACCTGATGATGTCAACAAAAATAGACAAATGAAAAATCTTAACTGTGGCCAGAATTTGCTGTTTTCACGCACACTATGTAATTTCTACTGTTTCTCAATCAAAACAAGAATAAAAGACAGACTTCTGTGACATCATGAAGTAGTGTGGGATCATGGGAGTTGTTGTCTTCTTTGTTAAACAGTCACCGTTGCCAGTGAAAATTTATCTGGCGTGGCTCAGGCAGAAATCCCATTCACAGATGACGAAATGTTTTTAAGTTTTATTTACATTACATTTAGTTATGATTATTCACATTATGTAGTTTCATTCTAATGGAATAGCTAACATCAACTTAACTTGCTAACTTACCATTAGCATTAGCATTACCATACAGGTACACTTGTGTGGCAAATTGTGGGGTTGCCCAGTGCTGTTACTGTATCTTTGATCAAAATAATTGTACTAAAAATAACTTAAAGCTGCAGTAGGTAGAAAGCCTGAAAACAGTTGATTTTTGAGTCTCATCTGAGTTAGGTTTCGTTCGTCTCCGCCCTGAGCCCCTCCTACCAGACGAGCATGCGAGTATTTTATCCGGGGAACCGAGTTCTGTCTTCCTTTCTTTGGGTTGTTTAGCCGTGTAGGCAGTTGTAGCCAATGCTGGAATAGCTATTTTACCTGGTGCACTGTTCGCCATTGCCGCTTGCTCTCCCCTTCTGCCGGCGGCACGGGAACGCGCATATGCAGTAGAACAGCCAATAGGAACGCAGTGGTCTGAGCTGACCTTTGATTGGTTGATGCTGGTTCTTTAGAGGCTGAACACAGAGCCATGGTGAGGTGCAGAAACCTATTGTTTGTCTCACACCACTTGATTTACATTATGCTTAGAGGATATTATAAAATTTTTACTCAATTATACCAAAACAATGTTGCCTACTGGAGCTTTAATGAGCATGAATTACAGTATGCATTAGCTTGGTGTCTGGTCTCTTCTTCTTCTGCTACTATGACTTCTACTTATTCTTCTGATGTTAAAGCATGGTGGCAACCAATGTTTAAGGTACATTAGCATCCCCTCTCCCTGCGTATGGGCGGTTTAATGACAACATACATGGAGGAAACTCTATCAAAGAAAGGTGTATCATTGTCGTTTTATCGCCTATCCCTGTAAACCAACCAGTACTTATTCCAAAGTCGTCAAATACTGCAGCTTGGTCATTGATTTCCATGTCAGACACCAACGAAAAACAGGCATACTTTTGTGGTGGTATGTTATGCTGTCAGGCAGCAAGAGTTAACAACGCCACCGGATGGCGTCTGTTTGAAATGCCACAGGACAACAGCGTAATCTAAAGACCTGGAAAGTCCTTTTTCTAAGCCTAACCACTTGCTTTTGATGCACTTTTAAATAGACATATTCGCAGTTTGTTTTTTTTGTTTTTTTTTTTTACCAAGGCTGTAAGTTAATTCAAAAAAAGACTGTATGCATCTAATGAGCAGAAACTGAACATTGTCTGTGAAAACAAAAGTGTATTTTGAAAAGACACAATGCATGTAAGAGGCTTAAATTGATATGGCGTCCCAGAGCGTCAAAGACAGACGCACCCAGGCTACCTAGCGTGTAATATGTAGACGTCAAAGTCCACTGACCAAGTGGCAATATGTGACAAGTTGGGAGTAAAAATGTGTTGTGAATGGAAGTATATGTCTTAACTGTTTCTGAACATTTGACCAAACTTTTCTTTCCTTCTCTCTCCTCTCTTCTGTTTTCATCTCTGCAGGTATTTCGTACAGATTTCATCACGGCCATGAAGCTGCCAGACTCGGCCCAGCTCGGCCCGGACGACTTCTACGTGCTCTCAGACCCTTGGAGACAAGAGTGGGAGAAGGGAGTGCAGGTGCCTGCCAACCTGGAGGCCATACCAGAACCTGTGGTCAGGTAGGACACACACAAAACACATCCTGCATACACACACAAACAGCCATTACATTTATGAGGATAGCAAATTGAGTATTGTTATTTGTTTTAATAGTGATTCACCACCAGCTAAACCTCTACTTGCACAGACATTATGTCACCATCTAAACACACTGGCAGAGTTCCCACGGTCACAAAGATCTTGGAAGGGTTATGAGACTTGAACTTCTGTTTGCCGTGACTAATAGTTGTCTTGGAAATTTGCCAAAATATCATTGAACTTCAGGAAGCTTGTGAAATTTGAGATTCTAGTTGATGCAACCTTGAATTTTTGCTGAAGTGATTTTGAAAAAAATGTGAGTAAAGGAGTTTATTGAGATAGTTCTTGCGGAGATTATCCAACTGATTTTTTTTTTTTGTAGAGATACACAGCTGTCGTACATTTATCAACATTTTGGAAATGTTCAGGAGAAAATTGGCATTGATTTGTGATAAATGACTGTGGGAACCCTTTACATAATTAAACTGCATGTCATTGCACTTATTAGCATTATTTGTTAATTGAATATTTGCACACAGGCACCTACAGAAATCTGGACACAAAGTGAGACCCTCTGCTTTTCTAACTCTTTCAAGCACAAACACTCTATGGGAATCAGGTTTGGATGCACGTGCAGGCAATGAAACATGGACACACACACACACACACACACACACACACACACAAGCAAGCTGGTGGGCAGATGTGTGCAGGCATGCACTTCGACCCACTTATATTCACTCATACTGTAGATTAGTCTGGGCACGCTCCCTCTCTCCCTCTCTCTCTCAGCCCAGTAGGTTGTTGTGGCTCTCTAGTACTACTGCAGCTGCTGCACATACCCATGTGGTTTGTTTGGCATTCAAGGAACTAATGAAAATGCTCAGACTGCCTGGTAATGCCTGTTAGATAGACATGTCATACTGGGAGGCCACACACACATTCTCTTTGGGAGACAGACAAATTATCCAGTCATGAGGTTTGGTCAAATGTTCTGTATCCATTAGGATTGGGTGCCATTTACATTTGAACAGATACTGGTGCCATTGCCTCGAATATTGTATCCGTACCCAAGGGTGCCTTTTCTCTGTACTTTACTCTTTCTGTAATTACAAAAATGTAATTTAAATAATTTGCTGCTAAATGTTGTGTATTATTGATACTCGTTACCTGGAGAGGTTGGAAAAAGATATACGTTTCTTCCCTGTGCCAAACCAAAATCAAACCCTGAAAAGTGTAGGGTTAGCTAGCTAGCTACTGAAGATACAGCCTACTGAATGTATACACATGCTGCTTTTGCTTTGTAATAATTATAACAGTGGAAAAAAGACCGACCCTGCTGTACAGGAACCAGTGAAGGGAAGCAGGGAAACTTTGCTGATATTCAGCTGTGTGTCATCACAGTGTGCGCAGATGAATGTTGTTTAATCCCTGCCCGTCCTGTGGCAGAGGTCCAGGTGCTGGCAGTGGCACGGGGGCGAAGCAAAACACCGTTCATCTGCACACACTGTGATGCCACACAGCTGGTTCAATATCAGCAAAGTTTCCCTTTATATTTATTGTGTTCTGTGGCGATCAGCAGTTATGTGGTGGTTCCCTTTTACACTGTGATCTGTAGCCTATAGTTCGGCTTTAGCTTCTAACTATCTTTGTCTTTTTAACCTGTTGTTGCCGCTGAGTCAGTTTGACATCCTGGATATATCTAGTGATGGGCAAAGCTGTTCTTTAGATTTTACTGAATCACTAGAATCAGTTCATTAAAAAGATTCATTCAAAAGATTCGTTCATCGAATCGTTCAGTTGGCAGGAGGAGCCCTGACTGTGTACTGCGTAGTCCGACTCACTGAACTGATACATGGCTGAGCTGCCGCTGTGTCTGCCCTGCACTGGTGAGTCTCATTACTGGCCAGCCTAATGTTTTAAGTTTGTTTATCTGGAAACTAAGTCTGTTAAAACAATGGGGAGGTGTGTGATTGTTTTATGTGTCTCGACTCCTGGATACATTAGCCGTTAGCTTGGAGAAAACAGTCCCTATGAAAGTGCATCGCTGAGAAGAAATTATTTGAATCACTCAGGGATCGGTGTTACGTCATTCACCGAGTGATTCGTTCACCGAGTGATTCGTCACGCGGTAGGCAGTCCCTCCCTGCACCCTGGCTGCCTCGCGACTCGCGAGTGATTCATCATTCGCACAGACCGAATCGGTAGTTCCACTCCTGGCCTGCACGCTTACTGCTGAGCTCAGCTGAACTGAGAAATGAACGAATCAGTTCCGGATGTGATTCAGTTGAGTACGTTCACTCGACAGATTCGTTCTTTTGAACGATTCGTTCGCGAACGGCACAACACTAGATATATCCTTGAAACACAGACTGTAGACCCCTCTGTCTGCTTCTCTCTGGAATCACTGTTTCATTTTTCCAAAAATATTATAGTATTTCTTCAGGGAGCGCACCACATTTCGGGTTTCATGCTTACTCTGACAGCTTGTCGGATCATCACAAAGGGGCGGGGCTTAGTGGAAGGTCAATGTCCCTCAATCACAAACATCAGTGATACCAGGCTATTTCTCAAAATTAAATACAAAAGAAAACTGACCAGATAGACCGAAACCATCTGAGCTGCAGCAACGGAGCTTTGTGCTACCTGCCTTCAGGGCATGTTGTGGCACCTCTGCATCCTTTCTGACATAGAATTCTCATCCAGGCTCCCTTAGGCACAGATTGATTTAACGTGAATTGTTATTCAGTAGTACTGATGTTATTTAGTCAGTTCAGTGAGTGAGTTCAGGTCCCAACCCTGGTATCCATTAACCCTTTTTTTAATCTGCTTCAAGAGTACCAGATACAGAGGAAACTCACTCTCAACAAACATGACAAGTTAACAGAAAGTAAAAGCTTCTTCAACTAAGATTTCACAGCAAAGAGACGTATTTGTTGCATATGAAGCAGCCATAAAGCTACTCAACAGTTTAAAATGAAAAGGCTGAACAGTACTGTGTCAAATGTGTTCAGCTGGTTTAATTTATCAGAGTTTAAGTGCCTGTTCTTCTTGTTTATACTCTTGACTGGAGTTTAAGGCCTTTGCACCACTTTTTCATGTTTTTGGAGGCATTTTGTGCTGTCGTCCTTTATCACAATCAATTCAAGGACTAGAGTGGCAAAGAGTCACTGTGTCGCAGCAAGTTAAAAATCCATTAAATATGTTCATTCAGTCAGTCCATTTGAAACAGGATCAAACAAAATATACTCAGTTGATTTTTGAGGGTCGTTACAGTAGCAAAGAAAAAGGGGCCGGGTTGGTGATTGTGTCGTAAAAAGTAAAAACTTTTCTGCCATGCTTAATGGCATCTCTAACTGGGCATGTGAAAAGAAAAGAGAAGCCAGTCGGATCCAAGAACATAAAATAAACACTTCAGAATAGAACAAACAAAACGTAAATCTAATCTCGTGTTTTGCTAAACGAAATGGCATACATTACAAGGAAACTAGAGAACCTGAAATGCATCTTTGACTACCAAGTGAAAAGACTTGCATGAGCAGTTTTACTTGCAAAGAGGAATCAAGTTTCCATAATAGAAATACAAAAAAAAAGTGTAGTTTAACAAAGATGGAAGAATGAATGATTTCCTCAGAGTCTGACTGAGGGTAGGTGAGAAAGGTGATAGATTGTGCAGCAATAAATCTGGATGATCTTTATGATTCTAACATATGAGAAGATAAATGTGTCACCCTTACTGTTTACATTGTCTAATAGGTTAATATCTCAGCAGACACACATATGTGACACATGCACATATACACACAAACAGTATGGAGCTAACAGATTGAAGAGAGCCTGAAGGCAGAGAGATAGATGAGCAGATTGGGAGAGAAAGAGCAAAGGCAGAGATAGATAAGGATAGATGGATGAATAGGGGCTAATATATTATCTTACATGCGATGGGATGATGAAGTGATATACAGTGATGCTGAAATGGAGTGATGATGGATAGATGGAGAGATACAGGAGAAGAGGGGTGAGTGTAAGTGTGACTGAGCTGATGGTCTCTGTCAGGGTCTCTGACAACATCTTTTTTCCTGTCGTCTGTCATCTTGAAGCCACCACTTTCCTCTCTCGGTGCGCCTCTCTTTTCCTTTCCTTGCTGTGTCCTTTTGATATGTTTGGGCTGAAATCTCCAGCGATGCTTGAGACTTCCTTGGTTTTACCCATATGAGCCCCTGTGGTTGGGCAGAATTAGCGGTAGGAAACCTTATTCCCACAGAAAGTGATGGCTTTTCAGTATTAGGTAAAAAACTGTCTATCAGCAAGCTATAAGAATACATATATAAAACATACCTCAGAGCTGTCCAGCTTGAAAGTATTTTCTTTTGTCAAAGTTGACATTGATTGAACTTTTGCAATAGAGAGGGGAGTAAAGAAAATAACTGCTGCTGGTTATGGCAATAAGGACATGTCTTGCTGGGTAATAAATACAAAAGTGATGTAACAATTCCACAGAAATCTGCTCAAAACAGCCGCTCAGGCCCTGAATCAGCTTGTCCTTCAAGCAAAAGCCTAATGACTCGATGGGCATAAACATTTCACAGTAGATTTGAACCATTGTGTTATAACAGGATGTTCAGATATCCGCTCTAAAAAGTATACATTGTCTCGCAGAGAACAGAAGACTTGGCAAGAATGTCCACACAGTGTTTTGGCTTGCAGTCAGAATAGTGTGCAGTGTCCAGCTGAGTCACCAGAATAAAAGTTGGCATTTTAGTCCCTGCAAACTATGGATATGTTTTATTTGTACATTTCATACATATCATATAATTGTTTCTTAAGTGATGTAGTTTATTTTACGTACATATAAGCTGAGTTCTTCATCAGGAGAAGGGATGGTAGATGGCGTACCGCCCTGGCAAAAGGGCTGCCAACCAGCCAAGCAGCAGAAAACTGTTTGAGACCAACAAACAACAAAATGGATTTTCTTAATGAC